TAGTAAAATACTTTTGCTATACCTTGGTTACGAATTAGTACCGTAGCATATACGGGCGTGACTAAAACTTAATTATGGTAAATGATCGTACTAAATATATTTTTGCTTCGATAAATTCTAGTATTTACTACGACTTGAAAATTATCCCGTAATAAAAAATACATTTTAGTACAACTTTTTACCATAGTAAAAAGATTATAGTAAAAAGTAAATTTTATACTAGTGAAGTTTTAATTAACTCTTAAGTTAGGGTTTCCAAATTATTTTGAATCGTCTTCATTGAAAATTGGATGCCTAAGATATGATCACAATACTAAGTTTTGTCCATATGTCAAAATGTCAACTAAGTAGGTTAGAATAATTTGTTTCAGTTGACTTATGCATAATCAACTGATTTTCCTTTTCACAAAAAAATTAGCTCAATTACATTCTCTTACACATCCATTTTTTACAATGTCAATTTTACATACGAAAAAAAAGTGTTTTTTCGTAATTATTCAAATAAGAGGATTTTTTTCTTCTTAATTTGACGTGATCTTACGGTGACCGATGAATGTGTTTATTTATGTGTAAATTAAACAATAACAAAGAAAATGCACACAATTGATGCATTTATGCATGCATGCATGCATTTTTTACTATACATTTGCAACACCTAATAGACCTAATTAAACACCAATCAAGCTTAAAAAATTTCATGCTACAATCAAACAAGAAAATGGCTTAACCTAATTAATTAACTTAATTCCATTAATTAGAAAAATTAAGTAGTGCAAATTATGTTTAATTAAGCTGAATTAGCCTTACTACTAATCGTCTTCTTCGTCCTTCTGCGGCAGCCACTCCTCTTATTATTACTGCTCGGATTCTTTCCCGCCCCGCAAACTATCGTAAACTCAATCCCGTATGCATTTCCGAAGCAAGAAAAACGCCCCTCGTCGGAGCTCCTCCTCGAGCGCCGTCTCCCGCCGCCATTCCGCAACAACTCCGACTCATCTCCTCCGCCTTCCACCATAGCCCTTCTCCACATCTCCTTGCTCGTCGCGACCGATTTGTAACCTTTCGCTTTCGCCTCTTCAGCCGTGAGCTCCTCCAGAATCGAGCTGCCGGTTTCTTGATCCGCCGCCGTGGTATTAATCTCCGCCGCCACGACGGAGGCCGACGGACCCACGTCGGAGCACAAATCCGACCCATTGTCGACGGTAGAACCGTTGCAAATCGATCCGGGTTTATCGGGGAACGACAAATCGTCGGCCTTGCCGTCGCCGGCGCTCAAGGACCGCCAGAGGACGATATTCAGATCGGTTACGTCGTCGTTTTGCTTGTGTTCGTCGAAACGATTCTTGGAAGAAAGCGGCATGCTTCTCATGGCGGCGGTGTCGGAGAGGGCGACGCCCATGTTCAGTATGCCCTGCGGGCTGCCGGAGGGGCGGCGGATCTGGAGCGCGACGAAACGGGTATTCTTATTGCGGGTTCGGGTCAGGGGGGTGATCAGATCGGCGACCCGGACCCGAACCATTCCGACGATGACGTCACGGAACCAGGAGACGGTGTAGATTTCGACGGTGACGGTGGCGTCGTTGTTCTCCGGCGGGTTGTCGAGGGAGAAGACGCACTTGTCGTTCCATTTAGGGTTTCGCTGGCCGTGGTTATCGGTTCGGGTCGTGTGCTTTTTGTTGGGTCGGATCCATACGACGCCGTACGTGTGCATTGACTTTGAGACCGGAGCCAAGTCCTGGGCTGATATTAGGCTGATTTCCAGGAGTTGGGAGGCGGCGGTTGACGGCGGCGGCGGCGGCGGTGGAGCTTCGGAGGAGATGCATGAGGATTCCGGTGTCGGATCCATCCTCCGTCCACGGCTGGGAATGCACGAAGAGGAGGAGGAGGTGGCGGCGGCGATGGGCGGAGAGGAAGAGGGTGGTTGTTTTTGTGAAGATGCATGGTTGCAAATTACTCGGAGGGCAAGTTTTTGTCGTTTTCTGATGTACGCATATTTCCCGTAATAAATGGGGACATGATTTTTTAACAGGTAGGGATAAAAATGGAATAAATTATCCAAAATACTTTTTCTATTATCGAATCAATTATTCAACACTATATTTAGAAAGAGAAAAAAAATTAATTGATGAAAATTTCACCGTATAATTCAATCAAGGGTGGATTAGAATTTTGACTTTTTTTGTGCTAGATACTAGATAGGTTTAATTGTGTAAGTATCTGAAATGTTAAACGTCGTTTCGATTTTATTATTACAATTTTGAGTTAGAGCAACTCCAACCCATTGTTATCAAATGGGGTTATCAAATACTCATTTGATAATCAGGGTTATACTTTGATATCTCTATACAACTAGTGAACTCCAACCACAAGTATCAAAAATCAATTATCAAACAAATTTATGATTGTTTATACATTATTTATTTTTTAATTCATTTTAAATAACCATACAAACCAATTTTCTAGTAAACTATCTTCAAAATCAATATTAATCAAGTTTTTACCTTTTCAATAGAAAGAAAATTATATATGAATAGAGATTATTTTTTTTCGTGGAACTTTGTTGAAGCTCTAGAGAAAAGAAAGAAAAAATCTGTTGAATACGTAGAGAATTTAATTTTATTATGTTGAGATTTTTTTTCCAGTGGAAAGTTGTTGAAGACGTAGAGAATTTAATTTTATTCTGTTGAGATTTTTACGTAAAGAAAAGAAAAGATTATGTTGAGAATTTAATTTTATTCTGTTGAGATTTTTACGTAGAAAGAAAAGAAAACTCAATTATGTTGAGGTTTTTCTTTTTTCACGTGCTCCTATTTTTTAGGAGAATATTTGATAACTATTTATGTGGGATGTATTTTTACTTCCCGATGGATGAGTTATCAAAATAGAACTCTATTTTAATAACTTCATTGGAGGAGCGAGTTTTTAAAATTGGGAGTCAAATGGAGGTTAAGGGGTTTGATAACCCATTTAATAACCCCGTTGGAGTTGCTCTTAGAAGGTGATTTTGACTATTTTCTAGTTTAATTTCGGCAAAATTCGAAACACGAAAATTGTAGTCGTCTTTTGAGTTAACTTTTTAATTCAACTTGAATTAGGTGATGAAGTTATGCATGAATAAATTACATTTTGGATTTTAGATAACTCAAAATATTTAAATTGTGAGTAATGTTCGTTGATTCATGCATATCTTTGTCACCCGACACCAATCGTGGTGATTCAAGTTGTATTAAAAAACTAACTCGAAAAACTATAAATTCCGTGTTTTGATCGTTTTTCCAATTTCAAATTAAAAAAAAAATGATCGAAATTATTTTTGAAGTCGAAACGGTATTATTAAAAGTGAGACAACATTTATAATATCAATGTTTTAGTAAATGATGCCAAAAAGGTACAGTGGCATACGAATTATATACTTTTTCTTTAGTAATTAAGTTTATTTGATAACTGAATATTAGAAATATCTATATAATACTATTTCTCTATTACAATCTCATGAATATTATTGAACATATATAAATAAAATATTAATTTGAAATAGTGAATATAGAACTGCAATCAAAGGCACTCAATGGATGATCTAGTGGTTGAAATAAATGAATTTGTGTTATTTGATCCAAATTCTAATCTCCTTATCAACGAATGTTCGCTAAATGGAACTTCCTGCACATGTTTAACTTAGTGTGATTTATGTCTTCTGTATGATTTATCATCTATTATACGAGAGTATGAATGTACCTAATACATCTATATGAATGTCTGCGTGTTCCTTCATTTAAAAAAAATAAAAATAAAAAAGTCAACATGTTTGACCAACTTTCAAATTAAACATACCAATAATGATGCTTTTAATTATCCATATATTAGAAATAAATTACACTCTTTAATCTTTTTTCTCAAAAAAAACAAAAACAAAAACAAAAAGAATATATATATTTATATATATATATTGTTATTTTAATTAATCTTAGATTCATCACCCACAGCCAAGTTTCACTAGAAGACAAAACAAGTAAAAAGTTACCCACACGCGAGCAAAAACCAATCAATCATTCAATTTCAAGAACCAGTGGAAAGAAAAAAAACACAGTCCACACACACACACACACACACACACAAAAATAGCCATTTTCTTGATTTAGTAAGTCACTAATTCATCACTGGAGAAGAATAGTTCTTACAAACTCCCAACTCCCATTATCCTAATTTTCATCGGTTATTGTCAGATTCCCCCTTTTTTTTTTCTTTCTCTCACCTCAAAGGTTTTATCTCTCATCTTTCTTGAATTTCTGCTGTTTAATTTTCTGCAATTTTTTTTTTCTTTCTTTCGCTTAATTAAATGTGAAAATGTATTGGGTTTTGTTAACTTTGTTCGCTCGTTGCATAAAGCTCTGTTCTTTGTCTCTTGTTTATGCTTTGTTCTGTGCTGTAATTACTGAGTCTTGAAATTATTTGGTTTGTCAACTCAGATCTTGCTGTGTTAATTTTGCCTGTTATGAAATTGAGTTGTTGTGTTGAACTTTGTCTGAAGAATTTGATACTGTAGTGAAAGTTCTAGAGCAAATGAACCAATGTGACATTTTTTTTCGTTACCGGGAGATATAAATATTAAACGATTCGCTTACGAAAATGGGGTTCTTATAGATATACGGTTTAGCTGAAGTTCGAATTGATTAAATTCTTCGTTACACGAAACCCCGAAACTATTTAACTGGATTTCCGTTTTAGTCCCTTTTTTCGGTTAGGTTTTAGAAGTTTAAGAATCGAGAACTTTGCGAATTGAATTACGGTTGACGCTAATGAACAATCCTGTTTTTTTTTTTTTTTTTTTTTTTTTTTCTGAATGTAGAAAATCATTTATCGGACGACGTATTATTTTAACTTAATTGTGTAGTTTCAGCAAAACGATCGGAACATGTTTTTACATCGATCGTGCGTATTCGATTGAAGCGAAACAGTAAATATATACGTTGACCTCAGTTCAACTTGCTGTTAACGTTTTTAATCCGACATTTCTTTTTCAGATACGATCTTTCGGTTTTGTTGTCTGTATATGGACAAAGCTAAAAAATGGCACCCGCGTTGTTTAGGAAAAAATCCAGCGAAGCGCATTCGAACGACGTCCAAGATTCACCTCGTCCTAATTTCGTACAAGAACTGACAACTAGTCTAATTTCGTCTTGTCCTAATACACTGTCGTCGAACGAAAAACTTCCATGGAATAGAGATGAAATCGAGAATTTTCTTGAAATTGAAACCGACTCGAATAGTCGAGAAGTGACATGTACAGGTATAGTGGCATCGGGAAACCGTACTAACCGAAATGATTGGAGGGAGTGGGCCCATCAGATAACCACGGTTGATGATTCACTCAACTCGAGTTTGACTGATCTCCTTATCGACGTCAATGTTCCGGATCTTGATGCCAAGGTTTAATTTTTTTTCCTCGATTTTTGTAACCATGCTAAAGTTTTTATTAAAAAAAAAAGAATCTTTTTTTTTAATTTAATGTTGTTATTTACAGATGTTGGAATTTCACGGTCCCGTTTCAACGGTGCAAAGCTGTGGTGCTGTGGTTAGCTCTTCTAATTGTTCTTCGCCTTCGACTAAAGCAAGAATGCGTTGGACACCAGAACTGCATGAGCTCTTTATGGATGCGGTGAATAAACTCGGTGGCGCTGAAAGTAAATTATTTAAAAAAAAAATTTACTCGTTATTGTTGCTAATTTGTTTCGTAAAATAATCCGGGAATATCGAAAACTTTACGAACGATTAACTTATGCAGGAGCTACGCCGAAAGGTGTACTCAAGCTCATGAATGTTGAAGGACTAACTATATATCATGTGAAGAGCCATTTGCAGGTAATTTACAAGTGTCTTTTTCTTGCAAATAATAGGGTAAATTACGGCCACCCCTTGAAGTAAGGTTAAATTACGAAAAACCCCTCACCTATGAATCTTCTTACACGTCCATCCTTGCGGTGTTAAATTTAGTGGAATCTTCTAGATTATGTGGAATATTCTCCGGTTGGTACCCGTTTTATCCCATTCGAGCTCCACATTTTGAAACAAGATTATCGTAAGATATATCTCTTAACTTGTAAAAATCAGATTGTGGTGCATCAGAAACCGCATTTCTGCACAAAATTAGTACAAACTAGTGAACATTCTACGGAATCTAGAAGATTCTGTTGAATTTGACACCATAAGGGTGGACGTGTAAGAAGATTCATAGGTGGTTGAAATTACCCAAACAAGAAGGTTTTTTTTCGTAATTTGACATTGCCTCAGGGGTTGGTCGTAATTTACCCTAATATGGTATTTTTCTTCCGATTATAAAAAGAAGGCGTACTCACTATTTTCGTTTTAAATTTTTTCAGAAATATAGAACTGCGAGATATAAACCCGAGTCATCAGAAGGTAGAAATTGCTCTTAATTCAACATTTACGCCGTTGCAGAGTCTCGTGTTTGCTTCGTATTATGTAACATTTTCTTTTTTTAATTTTTTTAGGAGCATTAGAAAGAAAGTCGAAAAATATTGCTGAGATGACATCCCTCGACTTGAAGACGTAAGCATCATATTAAGTTATTTGCCTTCATTTCTATGTTTTTCGATGAAATAAGTTTCGTTCGGAAATTGAATATAAAAAATCTCGATTTAATTAATTTATCGGTGGCAGTACGATGGGGATAACCGAAGCACTCAGAGTACAGATGGAAGTTCAGAAGCAACTCCATGAACAACTTGAGGTATGTAATTAGTGCTTAATATGTTCTTATGCCTTAATTTTCGCCTTTTCGGGGAAAATTTCGACAAACCTTAAAAAAAAGGATAAATTACGAAAACCCCCATTAACTTAGTCTAAATTATGAAAAACACCCCCAGCTATCCGTAATTACTAAAACCCACTGACGTTTGTTCCAATATCACACCAACCCCCGTGCGATGTGTTTTTTCATGTAATACTTTTTTACTACAGAGAATATTCCCAAAAAAATGTCAATTATACCCTTGCAGACGTGACATTATTTTAATGCTACTTTTGACTTTTGAGAGATAAAAAATATCGGAATCTTTATTCTTGTTATAATGACCCATTCACAACTTTTTAGTTCTCTTAATTTATATATTTCCTTTAATTGATACAAAAATTAAAAAATACCCCTTTGAGAGTAATTTTTACCATTTAAAAAGTAGGATAAAACAAATTCTACGTCTGCAGGGGTATAATTGACATTTTTTGGGAAATATTACCTGGACTCAAAAAGATTCCGTGAAAAAATCATACCGTAAAGGGATCGGTGTAAGACGGATAGATGGGGTGTTTTTCGTAATTTGGCCTAAGTTCAGGGGTTTTTTTCCGTAATTTACTCTTAAAAAATAACGCAATTTTATATTTTTCCTACATACTACGCAATTTTAGATATCTACGATTTTTTCGAGTAGTATAGTATTTTCGGCCCTAATCGAGTATTAAGATAAAATCTTGACTTCCTAATTTTTTTTCTTATAACATGTGTAATAAACTAATCATTTATTTTCATCAGATTCAAAGAAATCTACAGGTGAGAATAGAAGAACAAGCGAAACACCTTCAAATGATGTTCGACAAGCAGAGGAAAATGGAGGAAGATAAATCCAAAGCCACGTCATCGAATTTGGACACCATCGAATATCAGGTGCCAGATGGCAACGTCAAAGCGGAATCGTGTGGTCAGGATCGCGCCAGCTCACCGGAAATAATTGCTACCGGAAACTGCATTTTAGCGGACGAAAACTCGAACGAGAAAGAAATATCGTCGAAAAGGGAAATGCCAGAGGTGGAGGAATCGGGCGGTGGTGAATGTAGTCCTCCGCCGCCACTAAAACGGGCCAAAGTCGATGAAATTAACGGTGAAACGGGCCGATAAATTAGAGTTAGGGGTGATGAATTGAGTTTTCATATTTAACATGGATTAATTTCAAGAATTAGAGTTTTATTTCTCTCTCTTTTTTTTAATCCATTTGATGTGTTGAATGATTGTTCATGCAGAATTGGATAAGGAAAAAGGGTTCACTCATTGCTTGTTCATACATAATTGGATAAGAAATTTAAATGTACGAATTGCATGTAAACCCAAGGAGGAAGATTTATTTGCATTTCTATCTAGATTAAAATTAGTCCTTAAAAAAAACCCATCGCTCCAATATACCTCTTACTATATATTTTTCATCAATTTCATTCATAGTGTCCCAACTTGATAAATATTGCACATTGACCTCATATTTTAACAAATATATCACATTAACCTCAATTTTCACAATTTTTTGAATTTTTTTGTTTATGAACTTTTTTTTTTCCGGCCACTGAACAGGGTTGACCGCTGGTCTTCCACATTGCCTTTTTTTGTTTTTGTAAACAACCAACACAATAAAATTACAGTATGAGATAATAATTTGCAGGTTGAGACTGTAATATTAATATTAACACAATAATATTATTGGTTGTGACAATATTATTAATATTAATACCATAATATTACAAAAAATAGTTCAAAACAAATGTTTTAAAAAAAAAGTCAACAGCGGCTAACTGACAGTGACGGTCAAAACTGGGGTGAAAATTGATTAATTGGTGAAATTTGATATAAATTAGAATTTAAATTATGAAATTGAAGTTGAATTGGAGTTTCAAGCAGTTAGAGAGTAATTTTGGAATATATAAAGAATTTTCTTTATTAACAAATAAGTTTGAATGTGGTAAATATATTTACAAAGATAAAAGAATAGGACAAGAGTCAATGATTGAAATTTATGTGCACTTATTATTGGCTTTTCTGCAATTCTCCCAATCTGAATTTCCACGTAACATTAAAAAAAAAAAAAAAATTAGTTTTAGATTGCATTTAGATCTGGCGAGCTTGGCAAAATAATTTTAAATAATTCAATGAAAATATATATTTAATATTATTTTTCCAAATCCATCGTAATGTTAAAAAATATCCAAAACAAGAGTCAATGATTGAAATTTATGAGAGAATGAACTAATCCAAGATTTTATTATTCATCAAAATTATCAACTGAGTTATATCCATGTATAAGTGATTGTCTAGTTTTAGTATGATCTAATTATACATAATTGATAATTATTGAAAATTCAATTATAACATTCCCAATTGTTTGAAAGAATTAAGTAAAACAACGACCAAATCTTGATTTAGATCGACCAATAAATCTCATTGTATTTGTCAACCCCTAATATATATTAGGGTAAATTACACCCACATACCTGAGGTATGCTTAAATAACTTTAAGGTCCCTGTAGTTTCGATAATTATACTCACCCCCTTGAAATGTAGTTATAAAATCTAACGGGATAATGTATTGGATACGTTATTACGATAGAGTTCTAACGGACTATTGGTTTCAGGAACTGGTGGAGATAACAAAGAGTTATGGGTGATTTAAGAGTTATTGGGGAGTCATGTCACCCCATAACTCCCCATAACTCAATGTTATATCCACCACTAGCTAAAAGTAATAGTCCATTAGAACCCTATCGAAATAATGTATCCAATGCATTATCCCGTTAGAGTTTTGATATGCCTAATTGGGTCAACCCAATGGGCCTACAATTTCTTTACCTACTGGGCTACGAGCCCAATATCGAAGACCAATATCACCGAGGCCCAAACACCTTCAAGTAAGGCTTGGGCCCAACAAAGCAAACCCAACCCGATAAACGGCATATAAATAGAGGTTTTACTCATTTTATTAAGGTAGGTCCTATTAATTGAGCAAGACTACAATACGTATTCTCTGGACTAATTTCTATGATCAGCACGTCTGACTTGAGCGTCGGAGGGGTTTCCGCCGGATCAACCCCCGGCTTAGTTCATGTGTTCTATGATCGCAGGTACCTCAGGATCATCAAGTTGTCAAGCTACTGATCTGCTTTGCTCTCCCAGTTCATTTTCTACACCACCCTAGGTGAGCTATATTTTAGCATCATCATTTTGGCGCCGTCTGTGGGAACGATGCAAACCAGATCACGTAGCCAACAAGATCCTCCTGAGGCGTCTGCTCGGAGAGAAAGTGACACAGCTAACGACCTCCCACCTCGTGGAGGCTCTGGCTTGCCACCTCCTCCACATCCCATGGATCCGCCTCGCGAGGTTCAGGTGATCCCCCTCGGGACCCACCACTCGCCGATCCACCACTCCCTGCTCATCGAATGGTTCAAATAATCGAGGATGCGCTTCAACGCATGATAGCAGAAGCTTCAACTCGCGCTGCCACAGTGGCCGTGACTCAATATATCGCCACGATGGGAGCAAATGCTCCCAACGCGATACCAGCACCTGCTCACATGTGGAGCCACCTATGGCACCACCGCATCGACTCCCTGAGGGCTTACACTAGCCACCTATGGCACCACACCATCGACTGCCTGGGGGATCGA